AGTGAAAGAGGTGGCAGAGATTAGTGGAAAACAGTGTATCAGCACAGAGGGGGGAAAAAATAGACTGGAAAAACTGCAGCAAGCTAACTGATGACATCAGTGTCCACTGTCCTCTGGTTGATGCAGCTGCTGTGCTGGCATCAACTGGGGTGGTTCCTCCTTGTGCTTGCCTTCACAAGGTCCATGCGAGTGTTGAGAGGTGGAGAGGAGCAAGAGGGCAAGTGCTTATGCACCTTTCATAGTTACTTAACAGCGTTACTATTAAGAACTGTCTTTAAACAGAGCTGGTTTGTAAATGTGTGTGGGGTTTTTTTTTCCTGAGTTACGGCCATTGATTTTTAAGGTTGACTATTGTAGCTTAGGTGTTGCAGGGATAAAAAAAAATGACTTTATGAAAAAAAAAAAATCATAAAAGGAGAAAAAACATTTCAGTGTTTTAATATTCAGGGTTGAAGAGTTAGAAATACACTGTTTACCAATCAACTTCCACTAAATTCCTTCCACTCATTTAAAGAAAGGGGAAGGAAAAAACCCCGAAAAATAAGCATTTAATTGTCAAATCAGGATTTGTTTCTTGAATCGAGTTTCTTTTAAGTAGGATTGGGTTTAGCATTTTACAAAACAATCATAAAATTGTCCTGAGGTGCAGAATTTCAGATGGATGAGGTACAATCCAGACAAGATGCAATTGCAAAGATGCAAAATTGCATCTTTTTCTTTTTCTTGTAATATTTTCTAAGTGATGGTTAATAATATAGTATTTGACTTAGATAACTAACTCATTAGGAAAGCCAGCTTTGCTATATAGAAGATTTGTAGTGTGATTTAAAAAAATGTGTTTTTTACCTCAGCTGATGTAGCTCTGCCTGTACTATGTGAATATGTATGAGGAACACTGGAGCATATCGAGATTTAACCACAGGGAGGATCCTCTGCATTTTACAAGCTAATTTATGGTAGCAACTTGCTTGCAGTACTTCACGTGAGAAGTTGTTTTTTCAAGATATCTGAAGACGTTAAATGGGCTGATTTGCTTAAGAACAGAACAGCATCGAAAAATAATTGGCCGTTTTGGCTTTGCTGATTTGTCAAATGAGTCATGTAAAACAGTCAAACAGAAAAACTTCTTCTAGATAACAGCATGTTTCGGAAACATCCTGGTTTGTGTGTAAGTACTGAGGATAAGATAAAATTAGAGCAGCAGGCTGGTTTCTGTTGAGGAAGATGTTTAAGGTGTATTTAATCTCATATTTTCTTACTTTGGGACTACTTTAATAAGTCTGAAAAACACTTCTGTTCAGGTAAAGAAAGATTTGCATTAGAAGGCAAGTGTTTTTTCCTGTAGTGTAATGAATTTCAGTAGTCTTTTGTGAAATCTATTTGGTGTCTGGGTGTTTTTGTCATCCAGAAGTAGAGAGTGTGCCAACTCTACCTGAATAGTAGCTAATCTCATACGAGGGGTTTGAGCATGCCATTCACACACCTCTGGCCCTTTAAGGGCTCTGTAAAACAGACCACTGAAAGCAGCAGCAACTCTGACATTTTGTATGGGAGGATTTCTACAGCAGGTGGGAAGAATGTAAGGGCTTTCATGAAATGAAATTTTAAGATTATTGCTCTAATATTTCTTTAGAAACTGCTTTTTAGACTTTCATTGGTGAAAAAAGGCACTTAAAGCAGAGTGCTGAGTATTTTAGAAACTCAGCAGAATACTCACAGAACGTGCATCTCTGTTTAGCATGTCTGGACCAAACAGCTCTTCAGAATGGTCTATAGAAGGTCGTCGACTGGTGCCACTGATGCCACGGCTTGTTCCACAGACAGCTTTCACTGTTACTGCTAATGCTGTTGCCAACGCAGCTGTTCAGCACAACGCATCCCTCCCAGCTCCTGCAGAAACTGGAAACAAAGAAGGTGAGAGGAAGCCCGGATTGTTCTGCGCTCTATGGGAGTATAAAGATAATGTCACAGTATAAACTGTTATCTTAGGTTCAAAGTGTTAGTTATTGATAAAAAAAAAACACCCACTGAATCTTTCTTACTGAAAAATACGCACAGAAGTATGAAAACATATTTTTTTTAAAAGAATGCCTTTGTAGCATCTGCAGCATAAATCTGATAGCTTTGTATTAGTGAGAACACTAGCAACTGAAACTTAAAAAAAAAAAAGCCAAACCAAAACCAAATTGCCAAGAAATGAGGGGAAAATTCACTGGTATAGTTGTTAAACTCTGTAAACTATAAAAACTTGGACTGATGCCTTAAGATTTTGTAAAGCTCTGTGTGCTGAAAGATATTTCAGAACACTTTAAGAATATAAGTCGTTTTTGGTGAAAGTCAAGAAAATTCTGTTGGTTGTCTTTGGATTTATTTTGGTTTTAGTTTAAACATACAAAGTTAACAAGATGAAAAATTGCTTTGTCTTCCCTGTGCCTTTTAAATAATGCCAGTGCACATTCCATCTAGCCCTGCTGAATAGGTCCGAAGTATGCTTCATGCAACTGGAGAATGTGCAACACTTCTTGAAACATTCTGGTTTATTCTGGTTTTGTAAGAAATCATAGAATCATAGGGGTTGGATGGGACCTTGAAAGATCATCTAATCCAACCCCCCTGCCAGAGCAGGATCAAATCCTGGATCAATGTATGATTACTTACAAGCAACAGTTTAAAAAAGCTGATTAGCAAATTCAGTTGTTCATTACTAAAGGAATATTTTCGTTTCTTCAATTGATGCACTTCTTAGAAGATGCACTAGCTGTTTTCTGTTGGTTACCAGTCTAGATATGGTCATTCACAGAAAAACAAAAAGATCAAAATATTCAATTAATGCTAAAATGAAAAATAAGACATTGCAAAGTAAAATATCACATTAATACAAATAAAATCTAGAATCAGCAGCACACATTCCTGGGGATGGGTGGAGTGGAGCTTAGATCTTTGTGTTGTCCTTGAAGGCTGTTAAGCAGTCAACAGTAACAGGATTGCAGAGGCAAAGATGTGAATGATGACCCAATAAGTCCTTGGCTTCCATTTCAGTTGTTAAAATAGTGATAGAATAGTGGGATTCTGCACTTCAGTTACACGGAAGGTGTCTTTTCTCCTCTTCAGTGGTGGTTTGCTATTCCTACATAAGTAACACTTCAACCCCAACATCCACCCCTGTTCTAAGTGGCAGTGTAGCAACAGTGAAGTCCCCCAGACCTGCCAGTCCAGCCTCCAATGTAGTCGTCTTGCTAAGTGGAAGTACTGTTTATGTCAAAAGTAAGTGATACTAGCAACCGATTAACAAAAGGGCAAGAAAGGGAGAGTCTTGTGGCTGAAGCACGGACTGAGTTAAACTCTCTGGCCTTGGGCAAGTCATTTAATGCTTTGATGCCTTCACTTAGTCTAAAGAATGAATTTGTTGCTTCCCTTTTTCAGAGAAATTGCATTGAGGATAAATCTACTTGCTGTAAAATACTGC